TATCCCAGGTTGCTCCAAGCCCCATCCAACCTGGCCTTGAACACTTCCAGGGATGGGACAGCCACAGCTTCTCTGGGCAACCTGTGCCAGGGCCTCACCACCCTCACAGCCAAGAATTTCTTCCTAAAATCCAATCTAAATCTCTCCTCTTTTAGTTTAAAACCACCCCCCCTTGTCCTAAAAAGTGGGGTTTGTTTTGCAAGTCGTCTGTCCCTCTTTGCAAATTAGTCTAAGAATTTCCATACTGAAAGTGCATCTCGCAATGCTGAAAGTACGTGAAGTTATTTTTAAAACTTAACTATTTGTTACTTAAAAGTAATTACGAATGTGAAAATTTCTGACAAATCCTGCAGTAATAAGACATCCACATCCAGCGGGACACGGGCATTTTCAGACTGAAAAGATGGATGCTCCCCGTTCGGCCCTTCAGCTCAACACAACCGGGAGCGGGGTGGAAAGGTAGGAAGATAAAACATCTGTGCATGTTTTGGTTCTTCTCATCTTTCAGAGGTTTTTGCAATTTTGCATTTCCAACAGGAAACCCCTGCCCTGGGAGCTGGCAGGGGAGGGCCTGTTCCTGCCCAGCTGGACTCACAAAGGGCAGGAACTGGGGCAGCCCCACGGCGAGGGGGGGAGCCCCAATCCCTCCCTGAGTGCTGGCTGGTTTCATGAGAGATTTAGTTTAGATATTGGGAAGGAATTCTTGGCTGTGAGGGTGGGGAGGCCCTGGCACAGGTTGCCCCAGAGAAACTGTGGCTGCCCCTCCTGGAAGTGTCCAATGGCCAGGTTGGACGGGCTTGCGAGCAACCTGGCTGTGGAAGTGTCCCTGCCCATGGCAGGAATTTGGAACGAGATGACTTTAAAGTCCCTTCCAACCCACACCATTCTGGGATTCTTTGGTGGCAGCACAAACTTGTTTTTAGTTTTGGGTAGGTGTGAGAGAGACTAGGTGCAGAGATCACAATCCAAAAGCCAGCAGAAGTCTGCTCTCTCTTTCCCCCCTTCCATGGCTCGCGTTATCCAACCAGTCTGGGCTTTGTGCGGCCAAGAAGAACAACAAACAGAAACCAGAAGGCACAGTGAGATTGGTGAGTACAGAGCTGCCCTTTAAGCACAAAGCATCGGGACCAGCCTGAGTGAGAGTAACTACTTTCTGGAATATTGAAAAGAGGCATTACACAGCAAGAACAACCAACTGGATTGTGGGGCCCTTGGAGCTCGAGTGTCGGTCAGGCTGCAGCCTGCTGAGAAATTTGGACTTCACCTCTCCCATCTCAACCCCATGGGAGGTTGGAACTAAATGATCTTTAAGGTCCCTTCCAACCCAAGCCATTCTGTGGATTCTATGATTCTGTGTCCATGCCCATGATCAATGAGGCCCCAGGGAACAGGCAGAAATGGTATTTTATTTATGAAACAAAGAAAGAAGTTAATCCATGGCAGATGCTCTCAGAATTGTCGAATGAAAAACCCCTCTTTGGATAAATCATCGAGGATTTTCAAACCACAAGAGATGGCTCCTGGGACATCTCATGTTTGCAGGGTGCCCACTGATTTCTCACTCCCAAGAGGAAAGGACTGGCCAAGGTTTGCTAGAGAGCTGCAGCTGGGGAGAGAGGGGAAAAGGCTGAGGTTGGAATTTGCTTTCCAATGGGACCAGAGAGCGCTGACCTCCAGGGTGAACTGAAACTTCATAGCCAGGTATTTCTCTCCATGGATCAGGACTTCTCTTGGAAGAGGAGTCCATGTCAACACACTGTGAGCTGTGCTGGCAGTTTTAGTGTTTCAGCAACGGCACGCAGGGAAACACAGAACATTGTGTTTCTATAGCAAAGTGTGGGTCAAATGGGCCCCCAGGGAAGCAGGAGAAACACGAGGAGCAAGGAACAAGCCTTAGGAGAGACCAGCCCAGCTCCACTGTCGGCTGACATGCCAAAATTCATGGACAATGACAGAAAGTGCTTTGTCAGTCCCAGGGTTCAGCTGACGGCAGCAGCCAGAGACGACACAAACGCAGCGAGAGGGAACATGCAAACCCATCCTGGGAGCTGATGGGATTTGCTGATGCTGAGCTTTCAGGAGAAGTCTGGGGGATCACAACACTAGGATTTGCCCCTTAGGATTCAAGTGGGTGCCAAAATTTCCCTTGAAGTCTTGAGGATGCTCAGACGAGCACGAAGCAAACGATAAACAGCGGACAGAAATCAAGCAGAGATGAAACCCCAGCTCTTCAGAAGAGGTTTGAGTGTCAGAGGAGAGACAAGATATCTACAAAATACCCGTGGAAGAGAGAGGGAGAAGCTATACCAAGAAAGGGGTGGTTTTCTGGTAGAAAGTTATTATTAAATGCAGCTCAAACTGGGTCTTGGTGTGTAAAAGCTTCCTGATGGTGACTGAAGATGTTTGGCAGAGACTGGGGAGGTGACCCTGTACAACCACAGATAAATCACCTGAAGTCCAAATTCAGGAGAAAAAACGATGCGTGGAGGCAGAAACCTAATCTCCAAGTCAATAATGGAAAAACAGGGAACAAGGAATTCCAAATAAACTTGCTGGGCAGAGGGCACACAAATATACATCAACTATCTAAACGCAAACAGTTGACACAGTGATTCATGGACTCGACTTGAATAAAATCAATTCCCAACTCTTCAGCTACGGGCAGAACTGGCTCGATGGGAAAGGAGCACCAGGAGAGCAGGAAAGCAGGAAGAAGAGGTGGCAACCAGGCAAAATACATGGATGAGAATGGGGAACATATTTCAGTTCAGCCTGATAATGCTAATTAGGAAAGGAGATAAAATAATTGGAGTTGACCAGCCAGACTGTGAAATAAAGCACAGGGTGTCTGACTCCAGCAACTCTGGCAGGAAAGCGGAGCGTGAGTGTATATAAATGGAAAGGAGGTTGTAGTAAAACCATGACAGAATAATTAGGAGCAAAGGGACGGAATGAAGAAAAAATAATAAAATTAAAGCTCATTATCTGCAAAAACGACCTTGTCAAATTTGGACAAAGAGCTCAAGGCCAAGTTTTGAAAACAGGTCGGTATCAGGCCCGAGACTGACAGTGGCGCAGAACATTCCCCTTATCTTGGTTTCTCAAGAAAAACCACCAGTCAACACAGCCTGGAAAGCTAAACATTGTCCTTGCAGAGGAAAACAAGTCAGTAATTGGAAGCCAGGACATTCCAGCTCTGTATTATGCCACAGACCATCTGACCAGAAAGTTTTAAGCATGAAATCTAGACTTTAGCATGCAGAGACGTGACCCTACTTGAATCCCTGCTACACCACAGAGCAGAAACAGGGCAATCCTTTTTCTGCCACCTTCAAAATCTACTTTTTAAACAGGATTTCATCTTTGCAGGAGGATGAGAGATATTTTTTTGAGGATTAAAGAGATGAAAGCCTGCCCACAGCGTGCTTAACATCTCTGCATACACTTAAAATAAATCTCCATTTATTCTTTCAAGGTGTGTTTTTTGTTTGGAATTAAGCTTGGAGATAAGTAGGTGGTCCGTGGAGTTACTAATTAGAGCAAAATCATAAATAAACACGTCCATTAACTCAGGAAAAATGCCAAGGGATGAACAGGTATTGGTCCTCATTATCCCTTCTCCTCCCAGCAATATGATTTACTCCTCAGCTCCATCTTCTCCCCGATTTTCCAAGGGGCACGTACCTAAAAGTAGGATCCCATCCCTTATATGGAGAGCAGTCAGCAAGTACCAGCATGTTCTGAGGCGAGGGGAGCAGCTATTCCATAAATCTGAAACATGTTCTGGACAACAGCAGAGTTTACACAGACCACAAGAATGACAGGAATTAACCCCTTTTGTTTACAGCCTTTAAAAAGGGATCCACTGTGGATCCAGGGGTGTAAAGGGATAAGGCAGCAGCGACACGATCCAACTCCGACTCCTGGAACACCAACCACGCACATTTGGAAACGCTTTGCACGTGCTAAATATAAAAGGAGATTCTCCTTTTTTGTGTTTCAGTTGTCCTGATTAGGAAGAGCTGATTAAACAACTTATCTGGGAAGGCAGTACTGTAAACACCAGGCTGTTTGCTGGAGCAGAGGTGTCCGGCTCCCTCCTCTTGGAGGGTTGTTTTCCTTTCTTACGATTGCTCATCACCCAAGGTAAACATGTCAGGCAGGAGAGCTCCAATTTTCTGAGGCCAGATGGAATTTTTCACAGACCCACACTGAAGCAAGGTCCTTTCCACCATTTAAATGCTGGATCCTGGTTCCCTGCTGTTTGTGTCACCTTCCCTTCCCATCCCCTCCACTCCTCCCTTCCGTGTTGTTTTTTCCCCCCTTCGGAATTATTCCCAAGTCCATAACACCACACAAAGTCCTAGATCCCAATTCCTTCCCCCAGCAGCCCATAATAAATATGATTTGGGAGAAGAGCCACTGTCTCCCCTCAAAAAGGGAACTCTGGATGGTTTCCATATCTCAAGCCACTGCTCTGCTGTTCTGGGCTGATGTTGCCACGTCTGTTTACACTGAGAACTCTTCACCAACACCACAGACTTATTTTTTGTTTTTTGTTTGTTTTTTTTTTTTAACTGAAATTTAGGTTCTGCAGCTTCCACATGTGCCATCCAGATCATAAATACCTCAGGCAAAGGCAGCTCAGAGGTCAAACATCCAACATTTCTACTCCAGAGCCTTCCAGGTTGTTTTAATCCTTTCATCCCAGTATTTCCCTCTTGACTTCTAATTAGCTGCAGATACAAGCCTAACCTAAATGCTGGTATTCTCAGGCCTCACCAAGTTTATTTTATGGTGCTCCCTTTCCTCACGATAAGATCCTTGCACATAAACATACATATGTTTTTATACAAACACACACATATATATGCATTTAATTGTGGTAAACAAAGGACAGCTGGATCCTCTGCAAACCAATCTAATGTGCCTGAGAAGCACTTGGAACCTGAAAAAGCAAAGGCACACACTTACCTCTGAGAAGAACGTGACTGATGTCATTTGTGTGAAACCACAAATATTTATTTTTAATGAAAAAATACTTAAAGTGTGCCACAGTGTCCATATATTCATTTGAATAGTAGTACAAAGATATGTATTTCTGAGAAAAAGTCTTAAACACTGTAGAAAATAAATGTGGTTCTTAAATTATGTCAAAAGAAACCAGTAAAAAAGTCATGTTTTATACACTGGAATAAAATGAAACGATTAGAGAGAATAATAAATTATAATTACAGTATTTCAAATATTTGCCTCATGCTTTTTTTTTTTTTCCTTCAGCATTAGTTTTCTAAATGTGTCACGTAGAATAGGCCCCCAGAAGCCAGCAGTCAGAATGGGCTTTCAATGTGGATAATTGGATGTGGAGCTGAAAAAAGTCCTGGAAAAATGACACCACCATTGGTTATTCACCAGTACATAAAACATCAGAACATGGCAGTTTTAGGTTTGCATTGAACTATGTATTTTTGTTACTGGAAATTAATTTAGTGGGTTTTATTTTTAAATCAACTAATTTTTGTACAGTTTAACGAACTAAACAGCAATTATGGTCATTAGCAAGGATGTCACCCAAGCACACTGCACGACGTGCTTACGGGATGGACACACTGGATTTGGCTCTTTACACAGCCCACGTTAACAAGAGTTTGGAACCCTTTCAGGTCTGGTCAAGCACTGCAAAATGTTTAAAACTATAAAGTGCTTCGAAATACAAATCATTTTTCCTCTTTAGAAACAGGAAAAAAACCTCCAAACATGCACTTAAACCTGAAACCTCCATGCCTTGGGACGCTGCAGCTCTGCAGTCAAACATCCGTTTTGTGCCACTGGTTTGAAAAGTTCCTTTCCCATCCACGGTCAGAAATTCAAATAGTGTCTAAATTGGATTTGTCAGTCTCCTCCTGGTCTTGTTTGTACATGAAGGTTAGAAGGAACAGAGCAATATCCAGGGATGACCAGTAAGCAGTGTGGGATGTGACTGCGGACCAGTACCTGCTCTCCACGAGACCTTCCCTGAGCTCAAAGTCGATCCTGTGCTCCAGTTCCACTGGAAAATGAACACGAAACAAAAATGGTGTTAGAACTGTAAAAACACCAGCATGTTTTGCCATCAGCTTTGGGTTCTGATTCTACTTGTTGTACAGAAAACAAACTTAATACCTCTGTGTTTACGTTTCACGGGACACTCGACCAAATCAAAGTTTATTAATATACAAATACATTTTAATGCACATGCATTTAGCACAAACCTGACCTAAGAGTGGTGCTTAGCTCAGGAAAACAAAAGCTAAAAGGAAACTAAACCTGTTCTTAGAGGTCCTTTCCAACCTATATGATTCTATGATTCTAAAGCTTGGGAAAAGCTGGCATGTTTTTAAGCAGCTGTTTTCCTTATAGTAACTCTATAAATACATTTATTTATACTTGTTATGATAACTACAGAGAAATATTCAGCAAATGCTGAGGCCCCACTAGGAAACACTGTCTTTCAGAAGGTGGGTGCTCAGAACTTTCTGAAATAAATGGATTTCTTTCATTTTTAGTGTTTATACAAGGAGACTACACCCAATACTACAAGTCCTCTCTGCAAAGTTGTCCCTCCACAGCTCTAGCCCTTTTAATATCCTGATTATTCCAAATATATTTCAGCAGTTATCCTTTTATTTCAATGGCTCTTTGATTAATGCCACATTCAAAGCAATTTTTACTGCATTTTAACTGGACCGATGGTTAATCCATTGTTAAGGCACTTTAGTGGTCAGAAAATCTCTACAAGGAGCAATAGAATAAAAAGGACAAAAAAACCTAAAGGGCTGCTTAGCTACAAAAGCCAGCCCCCCATATTGAGTCAAAAATGCAGCCATTTATCAAAGGCAGTTTGAAAGAATTTTAATTCTTGGCTCCGAGAGCACATAAAGGGAGCATCGCACAAGCACCGGCACAGAACGACACGTCTTCGTGCTCTCCCAGGAGCATCACCCCACTCTGCAGCAAGGAGAGGGATTCAGAGCCTTGGAATACCAGGAGACAACCACAGTCATTTCCAGGAAGATGTGTACATGCAAAAAAACCCCAGTGGCTCTGCAGGAAGGACACCCCGACCGGCTCCGAGAGGCCGTTACGGGACTTGGGCGGCTGCCAAACCCCACCACAAGCCGCCCTCTCAGAAGCAAAGCCCTTGGCTGTGGATTGCATCATTCAGCCTCGCTGGCCTCTGCTCCACGTTCTCCTTCTATGGAGCAGGGATGGCTTTCAGCACAGAGGGATGTGGGATCCATGCAGAAAGCCCTGGACGTGCCAGCCGCCCCCGGAAGGAGCTCGTGGGCAGCTCCGTGACAGTCACTGTCCTGCCCCTCTATTTCCCTCGAGCCTAAAATGAGTTTCTTGTCCTCAAACAGTGACTCAGACAGGTTATCTGTTGTGATGAACAGACAACAATCCATCATGTGAATGCTGTCACAAGATACAACACACTTGTGACTCCTCTGATTGCAAAAACCCCCCCACCCTGCAGCGATGGGGACTTCAGAAATAAAATCAAAAATGAATTCCCTTAAAGGAAGTACCTCTATTTTTAAAAAAACCCCTCAGCTGCTAAAATTGCACTTTATGTTCTGGGTGGTTCAGATCAGGACAAGGGAGGCAACTTCTGTTGCTTCCAGTATGATGTGTCTTAAAATCCAGACTGCTTCAGAATTGGAATTGTGTGGGGAAATAGGAAATGTATGGGGGAGAAAGGGTTTAAACTGACAGAGGGCAGGTTTAGATTAGAGATTAGGGAGAAATCCTTCCCTGTGAGTGTTCAAGGCCAGGTTGGACAGGGCTTGGAGTAACCTGGTCTAATGGAAGGTGTCCCTGCCCACAGCAGGGGTAGAACGAGATGGTCTTTAAGGTCCCTTCCCACCCAAACCATTCTATAAAATTTAAATAAATCCATTTAATCATAAATGGTAAGTGGGATTCCATGTAGCAATTATATTGCTTTTCTATTGGAAGTCTAGGAATTACTGATATGCAGATCCCCTTAGCCCAAACTCCTATAGGCATATGTACATACACGTACATATGGTGTACATGTATGTACACATATAGAGATAAACCTCCTTTGAGAGGACAAAAAGATTAAAGGAAGAACAAAGACTCAGTCGTTGGAGTCTTGAGAAATTCAAAACACAGGAACAGATTCACAGAATCCCAGAATGGTTTGGGTTGGAAGGGACCTTAAAGACCATCTTGTTCCGCCCCCTGCCATGGGCAGGGACACCTTCCACTATCCCAGGTTGCTCCAGGCCCCATCCAACCTGGCCCTGGACACTTCCAGGCCCTGGACACTTCCAGGCCCTGGACACTTCCAGGCCTTGGACACTTCCAGCTGTGGTGCAGCCACAGCTTCTCTGGGCAACCTGTACCAGTCTGTCAGGAGGACTCATCACCCACCTGTGGGTTCGAGGAAGCCCGAGCTGCTGTGGGGTAAAGGTGGTGTCCCAACAGTTGTGGCCTTCTTGTCCTCTCCCTCAGCTCCTTCTTTTCCCGTCTCCATTGTCTGTGGGGTTGTGCTGGATCGGCCAAACCTCGAGAAAAGCATCCCTCCGAGGCCCTTCCCGATGCTCGCAGCTCCTGCATCCGGCAAGGAGGGGGAAAAAAACCCCAAGGAGCATAAATCAAACTGCAAATTAAAGTCAGTGTAGCACCCACTAATTAGAGCTGAGTGACAGGCGACTGAAAACACTCCTCAGTGCTTTCCTAGGGTGGGAACAGCTCATCTGACTGAAGAGTGCGCTGACTGAAGAGTGCACTGTTTATCCCAAGACTAATCTTGTGCACAAGCAAAAGCTGTAATTTGGAAACTGCATTTAGGGGAAAAAAAACACATGAGATTACTTCTGCTGCGAGAAATCTGGTACTTCAAAGGACATGCTGTAATTTCTCTCTCATAAAAAGTCAAAGACAAAATGCTTTATAGCAACGTTGGCTCCTCCTGCACTTAAGAATCCCATCAGGACATTTAAGGCATTCTTCTGGTTAAGGGTCCTTAAGCTGGCATTGCCCTTACAGACACTTAAAAATGTTATATCACCCTTTAAAAGGACTATTTTGGTTGCTCAGGAAGACGAGTGTAAAAGTTAAGAGCAGTCGTGTCGTGTTTTATCCCGACTTTGCTGCCACCTCATGGACAAGACATTAAAGTTACTATAGTAACCCAAAAAAAAAGCCACCCTGCTTTGAAATACCACATATTTCTACTTAAGGACTAGACTGCGTTTATATACTTTACTTATTTGATTGGGAAGATTCCTGGCACTAAGATTCTTCCAAATCCCACACAGAGAGCTAAAGAAAAGCCTTGAGTCAACAAAAACTGCAAGTGCATGCTCAAGTATAAGCTCCAATGAAGGGGGTTTAAGCTCACTTAAACCAGGGCTTATTTTGACTGAGAAAGCCAGAAGGGAACAGACTTTATATTAAAACAGCCTGAATTTCCTATTGTAGAATCATGAGTTAAATATAACTGTAATAGTTTACATGGTGTGATTTTTCTCTTATTCACCAATACCAGAAAACGTAGTCAGAACACAAGCTTTAATTTAACTTTTTTTTTCCATGAAATAGAGTGGAAACTATTAAATCATTGGGATGTTACTTCAATAAGAGAGACAAAAGTAAGGCAACAATAGCATAAACTACATCATCTTCCAGCAAGCCCTGACTCCAGCATATGTAAACTGTTTTCTTCTTTGAAGTAAAACATCAGCTGGGATTAAAACAAAAAAATTAAACAAAATCTCTCTGATTCTGTGAAACAGACAGGAATAGAATCATGGGACCTTAAAGATCACCTAATTCCAGCCCTGTCCTGTGGGCAGGGAAACCTTCCACTAGACCAGGTTGCTCCAAGCCCCATCCAAGCTGGCCTCGAACACTTCCAGGGATCCAGGGGCAGCCACAGTTTCTCTACCCAACCTGTGCCAGGGCCTCACCACCCTCCCAGCCAGGAATTCCTTCCCAATATCCCACTTTACCCTGTGCTCTGGCAATTTGAAGCCATTCCCCCTTATCCTGTCCCTTCAGGTCCTTGTCCCAAGTCCCTCTCCAGCTCTCCTGGAGCCCCTTTAGGCCCTGGAAGGGGCTCTCAGCTCTCCCTGGAGCCTTCTCTCCTCCAGGTGAACCCCCCCAGCCCTCCCAGCCTGTCCCTAGAGCAGAGTTTGTTTATGACCCAGCACCACGGAGCAGTGAAGCTCCACAGGGGGCTCCTGTTCCCGACCCAAAGGGCACAAAGGACCTCACCCAATATACTGGCTTTGCCTATGTTTGTGATGGACTCCCCGTAGTGCCGCCGGACCATCACCGGGGACGTGGTCGGGCTCGGCGCCGCCGAAGCGCTCTCGCTGTCAGGAACTGAGGTAGGTTCTTTTGTGGGGTTGAGGAAACTTGGCTTCATGTGCTCGTAAGGGAGAGGGTTTGCCGTGTTGTACCAGTGGATCTGGACAGGAGAAATGTTGCTGTAGTGCTTCAGAATTAAAGGTTCTAACCTATAGGCCTGCAAGAGGAAATAAAAAAAAACCAACAACAACAAAACAACCTTTGAGTGCCAAGACTGAAAAATAATCACGTTCTTTTCACGTACAGAGCCCTCTCCAACCTCAAATCCAAAATATCTGTAAGAAGCAAAGCCCAGAAGGTGACAGAGTTTTGGTGTTATGGTCTGATTCACTTTTATTTTCACAGGGAAGTTTACTTTCACCTGGAAGATTTATGAATTGCCCAGTTGTTTGTGCGTTCACTTTTGCACATGCAACACCTGTACCTGACTGTTAGCAACACACAAGTTCCTTTCAGATGGATTTTAATATGCACTGCCAGAGCAAACTTTATATAAAGTTAAGCTGATTTTGCACAACACAGAGGGAGGAACTGGCTGTGTAAATGTTTTGTTTGATGACTCTTTGTTGACCCCTGTGCAAATCGTCAATTCTGCTTATTAAAAAAATAATTTTCTATTGATTCATTGTTTTTCTTTGTTTACTTAAGTGTAGAAAAACATTCTGCACTTCTTTATCTTAAAACTAAGTGAAGTTACTATTTGTGGGATCACAGACTGACCATGTTCTACACTACCCAGGAAAATTCTGATTTTGGAGTAGCTGTAGCTGAACACAACCTTGAGATGAGCAAGAACCAGCATGTTTGGAAAGAAGTCTGAATATACTTAAGGTGAAGCACTTTAAATGCAAAAGCATCCCCCAATTGCTATTCTACATCAAATTCCAAATCAGGTTTGCATCAAAGAAGTTGCCAAGGTGATGCAGTTTCATCATCCTGCCTTTTGTAACAGATAATGTAGGCTGTCTATGGAAGAGTGTAAGGACAGGGTAAAGCTACACCAATAATTCTCTTCCAAGTACTATCCCACCTCTAACAAGCTGTTATTCAGGATCATTTGGGAAAAAAACAGTCTTTTTTTTTTTCTGTAGCATCTTGTAAACTGCTTGTGAAGCCTTTTTTAACAGCAGTATTGTCTTTGAACAGATGATATTTAATGGAAAGTTAAACACAAAATCCTCATCTGAAAAGGATTATTTCTTTGCAACAAAAAATAATCAGTGTAATCTCAAATATTGTGCTTATTAATATGAAAAGAGAAGCAAAATATATGATACCTCAGGCAATTATTTGTAGGAATTGTTATTCTACAGTTCCAAAACCCAAGACATTGTACAATACTCATTAACAAATCGTCCTCTGCTGGAACACACTCTGTGTTGATTCACACACTTTGCAGATCACACATTATGAGAGAGCTGATGCTTAAAAACAGTCAAGGTAAAAGCTGCAATTAAGACTCACCACTGGATCTGTTGGGTGAAAAATATTTAATAAGCGATTACAAATTGTCCTGGGTAGAATATGGTCCTGACTCCCACTGTTTCCTGGACGGATGCCACGCAGTGCCAAAAACACTGCTAATGGAGATCCCATACAGAAGAAATTCTCAACCTAAGGAGAGATTTCATCCACGTTAATAAGGATGGAAATGATGCTTTTTAACACAGCGGGATTTGATTTCTCTCACAACTGATTTCTCAGTTTCAGAGAGGGAGTCAGATAATATCAGTCAGTCAAAATGGAGAAGGCCACTGTAACATACAGACATGGAGGTTCAATTTCTCATTTCCTTTGGCTGCATGTTGTGGTGCTACACAGCTGGAAAACCAAAAAGCAAGTCGGATATTTGAACTGAGTTCTACCAACACTGGAAAGGCTGCAGCAAGAAGAGTTTGGATGACACCAAGGAACTATGATGAGTCTGATTTCTCCTGAATCTTCCCAAAGCTAACCACACCTCTTTAATCTTATCCCTAACCCAGGACTCTTATGATTTTTTTTGCTACACACACCTCAAAACACCTGGTGTCCAGTGAACAGAATGGTGCTTGTCACGAGTGCCACCCCATCCCACGCTGGGAACCACAGCCCAGGGACAGCAATGAGGGATCCTCACATCACCCAAAGCTGCTGTGACCTTGCTCTAAGTCCTGCCTCCAACACCAAGAGGCAACTGAGTAAACCTGACCTGACACATCTGCCAGAGGTCACTGAGCCTGCATCAGTGGTAACAACTTTTGGTCACTGCCAACCTGAGGTTGGGATTCAACAGTGACCTAGAGGTGAATGGTTTTGTATCCCATTACCAATCCTCAGACATTGTCTCCTAAAAACATCAAATATACAACTTGGTAGTAAAAAATATTTCCATAAGTCAAAATTACTTTTTAACCTCCTTTTTTTAAAAAAAAAATTAATTTTACCATCATCAGATCTTCACTTTCCCTAGGAGTGCCCAGAGTGCAGGGCACTACAACTGGGCAACTCCTAGTGTGCTGCTACTCAACCAGCAAGAGAAATTGCTGAATTCTTGCTAAATGGGATGCTTGGGATCCCATGTGCCTTCCCTGTATGTCAGCACATGGAGCGAGGGTGTAGGAATAATGGTCCATTTCATCTCTCAGATTCCAGCGCTGCACAAAACATTCCTCCTCCTCTGACTTGGCACTGGTGCCCCAGCTCTGCCTTCCAAAAGAATGCCTAAGTGCCAGCTCAATGGAAAAAGGAAACTCCAGGTGTTCAGCATGGCTATTCAATGTCACCTGCAGCAAAGCACAGCTCTGTCATCTGTGTTGTCACTCGGGTCTAGAGCAAAGCTGTTTTCCTTTCTTCAGCCTTACACAGACTTTACATTCTGGCTGTCTGGACAAAGAGCTGTCTCATCTTCAAATACAATAGAAACAGATATTCCCAGTGCAATGCCTTAAATTGAATAAGTAACCTTTAACCCTGCCCATCTGATATTCCTGTGTCGAGCATCTGAACTGCACAATTATGGTTTTTCTGCTTTAGAAAGAAATCAGACAGTGCCTGCCAGCTTACACTTAGCAGAGGCTCAAAAGAGACTGAGAAAAACCTCAAAAGGTAACTGGTTTCAGTGGTTACACGGTGTGTGGCTTTTTGTTCCACTTCTGTTCCATTGTTTCTATTGATAAACACAAGATCAGCGGTGTCCAGATGCTTTCTTGGAGGGCACCGCTCCTTGCTGTGCTTTCTTACATGCAAAAAGCCTTTCAACCTGGTCCTCCAGCTTACAGAGTCAAAGTACCAGCTGGTGGGCATCTTAGTAGGTGGCACCAGACCAATATTGAAGCAGTAAATGGCAAAAATCAAAAGTCTTCACTGAAAGGGTGGTCAGACATTGGAACAGGCTGCCCAGGGCAGTGGTGGAGTCACCATCCCTGGAGGGACTTAAGAGCTGTGTGGATGTGGCACTTGGGGTCGTGGGTTAGTGGGGAACAGGTCTTTTCCAACCTTAACAACTCTGTTATTCTATGTTTTTAAAAACAAAGTCCTTTAAATTGCAGCCATTAGACTGTCAGTGCTGTTAGAACGTGGCTGAAAATTAGACTGCTGTGTGATGACACCTACTGGGAACAGAAGACTAAAATCTTTATAGAAAGGACTAAAATCTTTATAGCAAACATGTATTAATTTTGATGTTTCTCTAGAAGCAGGAGTGGGGCATTTCACGTCTGTTCCTGTAAATGTTCAGCAACAGAGGAGACATGTTTATGAACATGACCTTTCAGTGCAGTACTTTTCTCCTGGTTATGATTCATAAAGAGAACACTTAATGAATTTATTTGTATTTTAAGCAGAAGCTGAGCCAAATGGTCATCCATTCAACTTAAGACTGCAGTATTTTCTTAATTAAATTGAAAAAAAAAGCTGAATGAGTCAACAGGAGTGAGGCAGCACAGGCCTTTTGTATGTTGGTACGTGGGGGGTGGGGGGGCAAATGAACATGAAGTACAAGCTGGAGCTTCTTCCAGAAGAGTTTCTGTAACCTTGGGTGAATGAGAAGTGCTCAGGAACCCTGAAGCCCTTTGGGCCAGCACACTGCAAGCCCAGATTTAAATGAATTCCCACCTCAGAACTAATGAGCCACTGAGGTACATCCTGCCCTCCTCTTCCTGATGGACTGAAAATCACCCTACAACACTGCTATTTTCATATCCCACAGAGTCATAAAGGATATCACACCATTCCCCATGTTTCCATGTTCTTCAGCCTCTTTAGCTTTTAACTCCAATTCCTCTGACATATCTGGTGAGGAGAAGACTGTCCTTTTAAGATTTACATTTACAATAGGTGTGGGCTTTGCTTTTAACTCACACAGCTCCTATTGGTTTAGCAGATAATCCCATCTGAGGAGAAGGAGAGGAAGAGAGAGGAAAAGAGACAAAGATACCTCACCCTCAAGTTCCCATTCTGGTGGCTTGTCCAGTATAGTACTGGACTCCATATCTTTATGTTTTGTAGGTTTTTCTCCTTTCCAAAGGGTCAGTCAAACACCCAGATAGTTTCCTCTAGTATTAAATACAAAGTAAGCTGCTGTATTTATTCTTGCATTTGTCTTGCCAAAAGCTACCTTTGTGCTCACTCAACATCAAGCAAAGCTTAACTCTTCTTCAAACAGCACCAGTGACTCTGTCTCATCCTGGGAAGCTTAATTTGTTTCACTCCATAAAAGAGCCAGTACAGCTCCACATGCCCATTCCATGGAGTAATAGAGCCTAAGGAGATCAGTGACCAAAGACTCCAGTCTCCTGCGTTGCACAGACCAAATAATTAGTGGATCAAGCATTTTTTGTGGTGAACAGCAGCTCCTGATCAAACCAGAGCTCTGCTCTGCCAGGAAGAGCCAAGGGGAGGTGGTTGGTACCTACGAAGCAGTTTGTTCTCTTTCAACAAGCCAGTCACCCTCTGTAAGCTGGACTGCCTTGCTGATGAGCAATCCTATTGCACTTCCATGGAAAGCCTTTCCCTTTCTGCAGCTCTGTCCCCACCAATGGGAGTCACTTGTGTAAAGCTCCACAGAACAAAACATCCTCCTGGTCAGCAAGGGTAAGAAAAAGGATGTACTGCATTGGAAAAATTACCTGAAAATTATCTATCTGATCTATTTAGATAGATAATGTCCTCTTTTCTTCCCTCTTTCTTTCCCCCTCCTTTCCTGCTTCATCTCAAAAAAGCAACTGTTCAAAAAACCTTCAGTTAAAACACAACTGAGTGAAGATTAATCTTTCACAGAGCTGGGGGAGTATCAGCCTGACTCCAGCTTCCTTGATGGTGGAGATAACAGCCTGACACATGCTTTCAAGCAGTGATGAAAAGGAGAAGGATGTGACAAAATGAATTATAGTTCGTTTCCTCTTTTTTATGGCTCAAGATTGACCTTGGCTTCCAGGAGCCCTTCTGAACTCAGAAGGAAAGAAAAATGGCAAGTTAAGAAACAATAATCTCTTTTATTCTCATCTATCATGTCACATTTTTATGGTTTAATATTTCAGGATTGAGTTGAGCAACTAGAAAGTGTCACACATCCCACCCAGAAACCGGAAAATGCCTTTTCCCAGCGATAAGGAATTCTAGCAATTTGTACAGCTGATTAGCAAGCAATCTGTTTCATGAGACTAGAAGTGTGCTGACTGTCAGACCAGAATAATTTGGAAGGAAAATCCACTGCTGGAGGAAATTCAATCAGATTTGCTCAGAGATGTGACATGTTAGTAGTAGTCCCCAAGGAAAATGGATTATTCAACTTAGTAGAAGTGAATTTGTTTAAGATACATGATTGATGTAATTTCCCAAATGGCTTTTACCTTCCCATAGAGTTGTATGTGTGTGTGTAATACAGTAACAATCTATATACAAGTTTACATATTACATGTATTTATTACCTATATATTTAGATATATGTTTACATATAACTACCCATGAACACATATAACAGAATCATAGAATGGGGGTTGGGTTGGAAGGGACCTTAAAGCCCATCTTGTTCCAACCCCCTGCCATGGGCAGGGACACCTTCCACTAGACCAGGTTGCTCTAAATTTATTAAAAATATGTATTTGTAACAAATATTAAGATATTAATAAAGTACCATGTTTACACACACATACACACACTTCATCCAACACATTCCAATTATTCTACCAAAATCATGCCTAGGGACATGGGGAAAAAAAAAGTAAGCAGAATGACTCATTGCAGTATTTTTGCAGCAAGCAGGACATTCAGGAAAAACCTCTCAGACATACATACCTTAAATTTTAAGACAGGTGGTTTTGCTATGGTGGATGCCTTTAACCCATGTAACCTCTCTTCTATCTCTCTCAACCTAGAAAATAGAGATCTTTCTGAGATCCAATAAAAAATGTAGCTTTAACCTCTCTGATCCAAACAGGTATTCCTGTGGGGTCCAACAGTTTTGTCTGCTGGGAAGAGAGAGTGATGGTGTCAGTATTTCTTGGAGCAGCTCAACTGATTAAGCATCAATGTATGTCAAATCCTGTTCCTCTGAACACAGAAGGAATCAATCGACACGTGACAGCTCCCTTGTTCACCCCCCCAAAGCATCTGCCCACCCTCCTTCCTCAGGAGTAGGTGACTCACCTCCTGTTTCCTTGGTGATTTTGCAGCCAAATCACCTGCTTTACTTTGCTTAAAAAACCCAAACAACACCAAAGCCACGGGAAACTTCATGGCTTGAGCATTATGGAGTTCTGTACTGCAGTGGAACACTGGAGGACTGTGTCCCACCCTTTCAGCTATCATTAAAAATGGTTGTTCATCCGTTTTTCTAGTTATCCCAAATTAAAAAAGTAGCTACAATATAAAGCTCACATATGGATGGGCAAAACTGTCCCCACTCCCAGTGGAATTCCAGAAGTTACAGTCTGTTTTCCATCATTTCAGACTGAACTGAATTAAAATGGCTCAAGAAATAGAGAGCCACTCTTTCTATACAGAAGTGCCAGTGTCAAATGATACTCAGGATTACTGTGGATCCAACCAGAAGCTCTTCAGAGGATGACTAAGGAGCTGGAGCATGAGTGTGAAAACAGTCATTTTCCCCTGATCATAAGCCAGGCATATGCCTGAAGGATCATTTTACCACTGGAACACTTCATTAGGTTTCTTAACTTCCCTTCTCATTAGGTTTCTTAACTTCCCTTCTCTCAGAAATATTAAACTTTATCCAGCCTTGCAGCTGATAGAGACGCCCTGTACCACTCCCTTATAACACACATCCCATCCTGATTGCAAGCACAGCAGGAGATCTGTTGCTGTATTAATGCTTCCAAAGTACCACCAATACTAAGATAGGTTCCAGGAAGGAACCAAAAAACTACAATTGATGATTTATCATGTCCCACTTGAAAGACTGAAGTTCAAGTTACTGTTATTAGATTCTCTATCTAATGGGTGTCTCATAACAACTTGATATCCCCATCCTTGGAAGTGTCCAAGGCCAGGTTGGACAGGGGTTGGAGCAACCTGGTCTAGTGGAAGGTGTCCCTTCCCATGGCAGGGGGTAGAAATGCATATCTTTAAGGTCCCTTCCAATCCCAAACCATTCCATGAGTTTGTGTGGATTCAGAGCTCCTCCAGCAGGGCCTGTCCAGTCCTGTTTTTAGCATCTACCACCCAGCCCCAGCAGAAGAACATCACCCACAAAAGATAACAGCCATGGAGGGTTCTGGAAACACTCCAAGGGCGTTATCTAGGGCTGTGGTTTTCTCCTTTAACAACTGGAAGTGGATGCATTACCGTTGTTTAGTTAGGTAAAGTTCCTCAAGTAAACGCTGCTCCTCGTAGCTCATCCAACGGTCTTCCAGCTCCTCCTCTTCCTTCTGCAGCAACTGTTCATAAAGCCTGACTGGATTCCAGCCAGTCATGATGTCGTAGGTGATGACACAGCCCAGTGAGTGGGACACGATGGAGACTTTCCCTCCTTTCTCCTCAAACTCCGGATTCCGGGAGCAGAAGAGCGTGTACAGCCGGTTCAGCTCCTGCTGCAGCCCCTTCACCAGCTGTTTGAAGAGGGTGAGGAAAGACAGTTAAACATCAACATTTGATTACTCCTGTTGGTGTTCAGGAATGTTCACATCCTACACTGACCCCTTCCTAGGATGAGCACAGAGGTCTGTGCACTTTGGCTGGGAAGATGAGCACAATCTCAAGGCCGGCAGCAACAGCTTGGCTGATTGTCACTGACTCCAGTGGTTCATCTCCCCCCTCCAGAGCCAGCACCAACCACCACACAGGACATGTGGTGACCCCAGAACTGCTACACCACACAGCCCAAGGCACTGAATTGAACTAAACACTTCAATAAATGACAGTTGTGCTTTAAGTACTTCACAGCATCCTCTGAGGTGAACAAAGGGACATGGTTTTCACCAGCACAGCAGTGACTTTTAACACAGTGGTATTTCCCTTCTGGCTTGATTCTCCCTCATTTTCTCCACTTTTTCACAGCTCTGAACATTTCTCCTGTGTCAGAGGTTCAGCTCCTTTTTTAACTTAAGGAGGATGGAAGGGGCCTGAGCTACACATGACCTGGAATCAACTCATACCTCTGGCACAATCCTGGCATTACCCTAAACAAGTCAGACCCACTTCCTCCATTTATCAAAGTGAGCAACAGCATTCCTACCTCATTGCAGGGCACAGGGAAGAGAAATCCATGAAAATGGAAGTGCTCAGATATTACAGTGAGAGCCTGAATGGGTTCTGGGAAAAAAAATCCTCTAATTGCTTTTGGATCTTGAAGTCATCAAGCCTTTCATTCCCCTGCCTGGCTGCCAGGAGATGGAGTTTTGTGTCCTCCTTCCCCTCCTACACCTGCACTTACTGCAAATTCTTCCAGAGGAATCTGAAGGAAAGGATGCTGCTAAAGAATAAAAAGCCTCATCTCAGGTAAAAGGATAATACAGGAAGAGAAAAAGCAAAAATGAGACAAGGCAGAGACAGAATTTGAACCCTTTATACAAACAGTGCCAAGAAAAATACTCTTCTAGTTGCAGGGTTTCTAGGAGAGTTTTTTTTGAAGAGGGGAAAAAAAGGAATGCAACATGGTTTTTAAACATCACAGACTAATCCATAGTACTACAGCAGTAAATATATATTGGTCCTATGAATCTCTGAGAAGCTTATCTGCTCAGAATCCTACGCTATAGGATAAAGAGGTTCAGATTCACACAAGTATTTTAGAGAGAAATGTTGAAAGACAGGAGACTTGGGAACTGGCCAATGCAAAAAAAAAAAAATGCAGCTTTGCCTGTGAAACTCAGCATGGAAACCAAGCAATGCTTCCAGGCTATGGCACAGAGGAGGACAAACAAGAAATTGCAAATCATTCCCTTGTTAGCAACGGGAAATTAAAGCTATAGAACATGTAATTTCAACATGATTTTTCAAGAGCCTGAGTCATTACTGAATATAAATATGAATAGCACCAGGACTGTCAGTGTTTGATACACATTTTACTGAGTGAGGATCCACACAACAAACCTGATGCCTGAAGTGCTGTGAAATGATTAACAAAGCCTTGCAACAGCTTGGAGAAATGAGTATCAGAACACCTATTTTCAAGTATTTTTGACTGTAGTGCTGCCTCTTCTTGCATTTGGGTCTATACAGACTGTGGGCACCACTTTCACACATGAATAAACAGAGCTTTCAGCAAGAGTTGGAGCTGAAAATATCAATCAGGACTAGCTTTGGCTGGCTGATAGTTTCTCAGTTTAAAAAGGTTTTGATTAAAACCCAGAAGAAAATAGCAGGAATCAGTTGAAATCAAAGTGGTTTGGGATTCCTGCCAGGAGCTCTGTGAAATGAGGGAGCACTGATATAGAATCATAGAATGGTTTGGGTTGGAAGGGACCTTATAGACCATCTTGTTCCAATCCCCTGCCATGGGCAGGGACACCTTCCACTAGACCAGGTTGCTCCAAGCCCCTCCAGCCTGGCCTTTAACACTTACAGGGATGCAGCAGCAGCCACAGCTTCTCTGGGCAACCTGTGCCAGGGCCTCACCACCCTCACACCCAACAATGTCTTCCCAATATCCCTCTGGCAGTGGGAAAACATTCCCCTTGTCCTGTCACTCCAGCCCCTTTAGGGCTCTCAGGTCTCCCTGGAGCCTTCTCTCCTCCAGGTGAACACCCTCACCTCTCCCAGCCTGGCTCCAGAGCAGAGGGGCTCCAGCCCTTGGAGCATCTCTGTGGCCTCCTCTGGACTTGCTGCAGCAGCTCCACGTTCTCCTCACATTGGAAACCACAGAGTTGGACACAGAACTCCAGCACTTTCCATGGGTGGCTGCTGGGATACCTTCCAAAGTACCCAACATCCATCATCCTGCCACCAGGGACCTCAACAGCAACTTGCTCAACAGCCCTGTACTCTACTCTCCTGTAGCCCATTCCTGCACAGCCTGTTTCCCTGGAAAAGGAGACAACTTCCAGGAAGAATCATATTGTGTCATCTCCCCCCCCCAGGAACAGAGTGGGTAAAAAATCTTCTGACACTATGGCATTTCCATTATTAACCCCTTTTTTTGTTGCAATCTGGAGGCATAAAACAGAATATTCTTGGAAAATCCTGGTTGCACACTGAGTCCAACCCTGTTTTTCACTGTCCTGCTCCTTAAATATATGCTGTTACTGGGAAGATAGGCAAAACCATGGACATCAACTAAGAAACTGTGCATGGGTTTCCAAATAGCTGCATACTTGGAAGTCTGCAAAGCAGAGTCCAAGCACTGGATTCAACTGAATCATCTGATGGAGATTATTCCTAAACTCCAAATTCCTGGTTACCAAACTTAACTGTGGAGTGGAAGCAGGAAATCCTCCAGATTTCCAGGTACTGTGAATGGTCTGGTTTTGCTGCTCTGCCAAACCAGAAGCCCTCTACCTGCAGTGAGCACTTATGGATGTTGGTGTCCTGCCAAAAGTTCTGTGCCAGCACTAAGATTAGAAACCAAACCTTTTTGGTGTGTAGTAAGAAAAAAAAAAGAAATTAAAAGAAAAAGCATATTCATTTAAAGTCCAAGCTAAAAAACTGTTTGGTTAAGTAATATATGAAGATAAGGTAATATTTATTGGTGGTTGGAACTAGATGACGTTTAATGTCTCTTCCAACCCAAGCCATTCTATCATTCCATTCTATGACTTAGTCCTGATTTGCTTTCTTAGCATAAAATATTCTAACTTGTAAAAGGAAAGTTTGGTTTGAACAGGGTTTTAGTCCAGCAACTGCAACATGAAATGCTTTCAGATCCCTTTTGCAGTTACAGCTTGGTATATATCCTAACACTCCATATAAAAATACCTTTTAAAAACAACAAGTGGCTTCGCATTTCCTAAAATCAGTGATTTTTTTCATTGGAATTTAAACATGAAAAATGTAGCTGTCAATCAAATTTTCTCTCCTAAATGGCATCACTGTAATAAAATCAATTTTTTAGGAGCTGATGTTTTTTTATGCACTCTTGTCTTTTTGCTCCCTCTGAAGGGTCTGTGGGAGTCTTAATTAAATAGTATTAGATAAAAAACTCCCAAATGACAAAAAAATAACAACTCATCCTCCCAAACCCACAACACCCAAGTGGCTGCTCTGTGGCTGCACCTCATGGTCAGGTTATAAGTAATGGGTGCCTCACCCTGAGCTTGTTGAACGCTTCTCCTGCTCTCACTGCACCTACATCAAGGAATTCCTGATTAAAGGAGCCCTTTTCCCACTGGTTTCCCTTTGGGAAACAACCCAAGCCTCACTGCCTGCTGATCCACAGGATCTATCGTGTGCTTAGAGGAAGCACCTGTTGGTTCTGCCTGAAAACAGGAAAACAGGAATCATCTACAAAAAAAAAACAAAACAAGGAATAGTGGGATGCAACATGACCAGACCCCTCTCTCTTTTTCCATCTCCTCTCCTCCCTCCCAGTTCCCACCTTGTTTTGGGGACCAGTGGGACTGAACACTCACAGAGCTGTTTCTCCATCCAAGGTCTTCACAAGGCTTTCCCCACAAACTGAGTTTCCTTGAGTTTCCCATATTCCCAACCCATATAACCACCTCCCAAGGCTTCTCCCACAGACCAAACAAGCTCAAACATCTCACAGCAGAATAAATGAGGCAGCAGCCAATGTTTTTCCCAGTCAGCTTCTCCCCTGATCCCTGTGCAGCTGCTCTGACTGCTGATTTTCTGCCTGCTCTGCTCTGTTACCCTCAGCTCTTCCAGAAGGACCAGGGAAATGCAGCATGTTTACCTGTCTGTTACTGAACAGATCAAACACTGCAACAAAGGGAACTCTTCCTATTTCTCCCAGAAAGAGCTGTATCAAATCCCATCCTCCCAGCTGGCCTTACTACCTCAGTGTTAGTTTAGCATCAAACACTGAAATATTTCAAGGAAAGGTAGAGAAAATCTTCTGCTGTTCCCATTCTCTTTCCCAGGAAAGTCCTTTCTCCCTGTTCTGATTTTTAGGGAAAACTCTGGGAAGCACCTTTTGCAGACCAGCTGTTTCATTACTAAAGTTTAGTGCAGGATTAAAATGCTACAAGTCTTGCAGGTGTAACATTAAATACTCACAGATACCCAGAGAAAATCCTTCCAGTGCCTAGAGGGGCTCTCAAGAGAGTTTGGGAGGGACTTTGGACAAGGTCCTGAAGGGACAGGACAAGGAGGAATGGCTTCCTACTGCCAGAGGGCAGGGTTAGATGGGATATGGGGAAGGAATTGTCGGCTGTGAGGGTGGTGAGGCCCTGGTACAGGTTGCCCAGAGAAGCTGTGGCTGCCCCTGGATCCCTGTAAGTGTTCCAGGCCAGGTTGGAGGGGCTTGGAGTAACCTGGTCTAGTGGAAGGTTTCCCTGCCCATGGCAGGGGGTTGGAACTGGATGATCTTTCAGGTTCCTTCCAACCCAAACCATTCTATGGTTACTATTTGCCTGAAGCTCCATTTAGCAGCTGAAGTTTTGCCAATAAATCTTCCATGCAGGAAACTCAAGCCCACAGGATCAAGTTGCTC